AGCTTTTGAGATCACAAGAAATGAAATGTTAGTGTGTAAGTGAATAGATCGATATATTGACTTAAACAAGTCTCTCGTCAATGGTATTTTAAAGGTTAATGATATCATCACTGCTTATGGTTTTGTAGAGAATACCGTAGACTGGTGTATCTATATTAAGGTTAGTGGGAGTAGATTTGTTATTTTAGTTCCGTATGTCGATAACATATTTATAGTTGCTAATAATGTGAACATGTTGCACGAATTAAAGTATTATCTCTCTGAAAATTATGAAATAAAGAATGTGGATGAAACGTGCTTGGTAATTGGAATAGAAATATTCTGGAATATATCACTAGGACTAAAAATTTATCCCATTAAGGTTTTATTTGAGAGGTAATTGATGGTTGTTCCGTATAATTCCAATTCATAAAAGGGACATATTTAGTCTAAACTAAATGTCCGAAAAGGTGAAATGGAATGGAAAGTGATGGAGAAAATTCCTTAGATATAAATGATTAGGAGTCTTAAGCGATACGAACCTGTATTTGGTTTAATAACATATTTGTTGTTGGTATACATTAAACAAATATAATTGAAATCCCTAAATGATTATTTAAATGCTGCAATGAAATTTCTAAGATATTTACAAGGCATTAAAGAACACATGCTAACTTAAAGAAGATTCAAATTATTTTTATAATTGGATACTCGGATTCAGATTTTTGCTCATAATGTCTAAAGGAGAAAAATTATGGAAAAGTGGAACAAAGTCCATCATCGTGACTTCCACTTAAGTTTGAGTTTGGGGTATGCTTTGAGGCCACAAGTCAAAATTAGGGCTACAATGCTTTATCTTAGGACTTGGAATGTCGACATCTTGTCCAAGCCGCTAAGAATTAACGTAGTTTTGTAGCAATAATATTTCAAGGAAATGACAAGTATTCAAAGAGTGTGAATCACATAAAATTTAAATACTTGGTCGTAAAAGTAGAAGTGAAGAAACAAAGTGTCATTTGAGAATTTTAGTAATAATTGCATGAAAGTGGATCTATTAAAGGGTTATTTCCTATAGCCTTTGGAAGGCATATAAAGAAAATTGGGATTAACGAATGGGGCCTTGTTAGACTGATCGGTACTAAATGGAATTGCTCAATTATTGATTTGATACTTATTGAATTCAATAAAAGATGTTTGATTCTTCACATATAATACCATCATTATGGATATTCGATTTTATAGTATATACATAAAAGTTGGATGGCTTATGGTTATGGGACGAAAGGCTTGTTCCATATTAAAGTAAAGTTGAATTAGAAATGATTTGTAGTACATGGAAGGGATCATGTCGCTCGAAGATGTGTGACCGCCATGACTCGATTAATTTCTAGTTTGATTTTTAACTTATAGATATATGTATTCAATTATAAGTTTGATGAAAGATGCGCGCTTAAAGTAGTTCTTTGGATTTCGACACTTATATGGTCCAAGTGGGAGAATGTAATAATATTTTATATATTATTCTATTATTGTGGACCATATAATTAGTTGGACCTAATTGAATTAATAGTCAAACTTTATTAAAGATGAATATGTATTTAATAGATTATTTAATGTTCTAATATTAAAGAGTCCAATGTGTGATCTTTAACTTGGACATTAAGTTACCTTAGAACATGGGGAATGGTAGTATGATTAGGATTCTAAGTCTCCTCCTCCTATATATACTACATACCCCTCTCTCCCATCTCATACGAAATAAAGTTCTCAACATCAAGAGCTTTATGGAAAGACGAGAGACGCAGGAGAGAGAAACATCTAATTCATAGGACGTATCCATTGTTGGAGATTACGAGACGAATCCATCATTGATGTTTACGAGAAAGATGATCGTAGATCAACATCATAGATGAACAGGAAAGGACTATAGCTGGATTCTTTTAAGTTTCTATGTGCAATTTAATTTATGCAAAGATCCATATTCTATGAATTAATAGAATTACATGCTTATGGTTTATTCAATTCCGCCTAATAGTTGTGAATATACCCGTTAAATTCCCTACAGCCTAATGATAGGCAGTCTCCTTAAGTCCTGTACGGAGGCTATATCATATGTAAGACTGAGGCGGTGGCCGAAGGCTTTCGATATGTATGTCGTTGTAAGACCTGTGCGGAGATGATCGACAGATACTCCTACAGAGTGGGCGCCGATGTAAGGCCTGTACGGAGGCAATCGATACGAAGACACTCAGTAGCTTTATAGAGAGTGCACATGAGTAATTATATTGATAGGAGATGGATATGTTATTGATTCGTGTTCATGCTGTGACATTACCAATTTTATATTATGATTGTTAATTATGGCATAGTGGTGAGCACCACGGGTTTCAATTTTGCTCACCCTCACCTGCTCTTCATGGATGCAGGTTAGTAAGTGTGGGCACGACGGAGGGATGCGAGTAGTGGTCGGTCATTGATGACCAACTTATTATTTGATATTGGTTCCGCTTATTGAACTGATTATTGTTATTTATGCATCTATGTTTATTGAGGATTGAAATTATGGAATATTGAGGATTGATGATTTATGATTGAATTTGAGGATTGACGATTGATGATTGAGGATTGAGATTATTATTGAATATTGATGTATGCTTTTGTAAATGAGTAACGCCACAAGTGATTTTGACATAAATTTGAAAAATATTATTTTAATTTTCGACAAATAAAAAGTGGGGCGTTAGAACTATAACATGTATATTCAACTAATTGCGTAGAAATCGGGCCCAATTTCAAATTGAAAATTAAAATTTAAAAATCCCTTATCACTTGGCAATTACTTTATTTTGTTTGATTTTTTTTAAACATAAATTTGAGCCAGAATATTAATTTACAATTCAAAATGAAATTGGATTGGAACATCCTAAAATTTAGGTTTTGTTTATTCTCTAGAATACAAATTTGAAATTTATTGCATACAATTACAAAATAAATAATGATTGTGTACACTTACAAAACATCATGTATAATCTGCTAAATAATTAATTGATTTATTTAAAGTCTATCTCGAATCCTAATGTAATTTATGGTGATAGACGATGCATCAAATTAAAGACCAAACAAATAATGTTGTACACAATGATTTGTTTAATAATATAAAAGTTACATTTTGTTTATTCCAATACACGTGTTTTACGGTCTTCAAATCATCCAAATCGAAATGCTTACCTTAATAAAAGTAACCCGTGCATCGCACGAGTACTGCACTAGTAAATCTTTTAAGGGAATTATTTTTGTATATAGCCCATGGCCAAATATTTATCTGGACCGGTCTGCATAGTGCCATACCCTACCCCATCTCTACACAAATGTATCAGATTTGTTAGAACATATTGATGATGGAACTTCAAAAACAACACCACATGTGCACGTTCAAAATGGCAAAACCAGTCCTTATTTTCAAACAAGCTAGCTGGGCACTCAACGGTAACTTCAAGGCACCAATAATTGAACGTGGCAATAAGTGCAGATCAGTCTATCATGCGCATGAGGTTTGGCAGACATTGATTTACATACACATACACATATCCATATTAGGGCTGCAAATAAATCGAGTCAGTGATCAATAACACATGTAGATACACATACCCATGTCCTAGATATATACACACCCACGCGAGTGGGAAAACAATATAAGGAGGCAATAATCTAATAAGCTCTAGCCAAGCAATAAACCAGCAACAATGGTTTCAATATCCCACCAATTATTGTTAATAAGAAAATTGCAATTGTAGTCCAGCAATTTAGGTTGTTTCCCATTTTAGTCCACTAACTTAGGTCGATCCAAATTTGGTCCAAAAACTCCCAAAAGTTAGTTAAATCAGTCCAATTGGACTAAAATTGGACTGAAATTGACCAATCAATTAGACTGAAATTGGACTGATTTAACTAACTTTTGAGAGTTTTTGGACCAAATTTGGATCGGCCTAAGTTAGTGGACTAAAATAGGAAATAGCCTAAGGTTTTGGACTAACTTTTGAGAGTTTTTGGACCAAATTTGGATCGGCCTAAGTTAGTGGACTAAAATGGGAAACAACCTAAGTTGCTGGACTAAAATTGCAATTTTCTCTATTGTTAATATATATAGTTCCCAACTCAGCATAACAAAAACTCATGATATTATTTATTGCATTGAAGAATAAATGAAGTATATTATTTTGGTAAAATTGCAATTTTAATCTTGTTGGTTCGATACAGTGACCTTTTTTAGTCCTAAGAATTAGACTTTTTTTTTTTCTATTTGGTCCTATGATTTTAAAATTCTATGCAATTTCATTTATTTGAGACTGAAATTACAACAAAATTTTAAATTATAAGATTTAAATTGCTAATAAAAATTCATCTAAAAGATTTTTTATTAGCAATTGAAGTACTGTAATTATAAATTTTGTTGCAATTTAAGTCCTGAAAGATTGAGATTGCAACAAACTACTAGATTACAGGATCAAAAAGACAAAAAATTGAAATTTTGAGATTAAAAATACTACAACGTTAAACCAGCATGACTAAAAATGCAATTTGGACATTTTATTTTAAAGGTGACAATATTGATGAATTTTAAAAAATTTAAAAGACTACTACTGTATCTGTACATGTGTGTGAATCACATGCACCATTTTCCGTACAACTTGATCATCATACCCTGCCCCACCTCTCCATCAATTTCGGCTTTAGTAAAACATATTGATTCAAACACCACACACCATGCTGCACAGCTGCACAAAAATGGCAAAACAAGTCCCTTTTTTTGTAACAAGCTAGCTGGCATTCAACAGTAATTTTAGGCAACAACTAATTAATAATTAAAAAAAAAAGAAAAAAAAAAAGAAAGAAGATAATAAGAAGAAATCAGTGAACAAGAAAAAAGAGAATATATATAAATGAGACAATTATTAATTATAACACGGTTGTGGCAAAAAGAAAGAAGTAAAAGGTAATTATAAGGTGTAACAAAAGCTACAATGGCTTCATCCTCCTCCACCGCCAACCAGCTAATAATCTCTAACCAACCAACAATGGCTTCATCATCCTCTACCCCCAACCTATCTTTCCTGGCTATCCTCAGTACAGTCAACGTGGCCAACTTCGTTTCCATCAAGCTCTCCGGCTCGAACAACTACGGGTCATGGAAACTACAAATGCACTGCCTTATCCAGGCCTATAATTTGGTCCACTTCATTGACAGGCCGATCCCGGAAGACGACGGTGATTGGATGACAGAGAGAGTGGTTTTGGGGTGGATCCTTGGATCGCTGACCGACGCTGTTCTTAAGAGGGTGGCCAATTCGGCGGCTACCGCCAGGGATGTGTGGGTGGAGCTGGACAAGAATTTTAGTGGTCGGCCACAAGGTACGTACAGAGTTAATTATATATATATATAATTGATTAAAGTTTCATGTGTTTGCGCAATTAATATATATCAGGTAATTAATTAGTTTCTTCCCTGATTCATATTTCTATCACAACCAATAGTGATTACTATGGTGAACGCGTGGGACGAGGACCTAGTGACAAGCTTGCGCCAGAGGAGGAAGTGCAAGGAGGCCAAAGAATACTTAGAAAGACATCCGGAGGCCATCTGTGCCCAATTAACTTCCAGATCAGACACATGTCTCCACTTAGCTGTTGCCACCGGGGATAAATTTTTCCATGATTACCTCGGTTTAGTCAAGTTTCTGGTTAAGAATATGCCGATCAACCTACTGACAGCGCAGAACAGCCTCGGCGACACCGTCCTCCATGTGGCGGCCCGGAATATTGGTTTTCATACCAAGGATCTCTGCGATATGTTGTCAGAGCGGCACCACAAAATCCCTGATGATCTCATGTACGTAGCCAACAACGAGGGTGACTTCCCCTGCCACCAGGCAGCACGGGTCATTTCAACTATAGACATTCGCTACTTTATAGAGAAGATGGACAAGAAGGACTGTTTGCTCCCATACCTCAAGCTTCTGTGTATGCTGATTGATGCTCAGTTTTATGGTGAGTGTGTCCGTCTATTATTTCGAGTTGACCATATTAATGTATGCCTCTGTCTTAATTTGCTTTCTATTATTTCAGATGAAGCTAAGAAGTTATTTCACAAATATCCGGAATTGGCTGGTTTGAAACTTGAAGATGGCACCTCAGCTTTGCAAAGGTTGGTGCTCCTGGACACTGCCGTATGGCCGGGACTTTGGGATCGCTTAGCTATCTGGAATACGTGAGTGTTAAATTAAATTCTTAGATTACTAGTACAGATCCCGTGCGATGCACGGAGTGCACAAAAGTCATTTATCAAGTTTTATAATTATATAAATGAATAAAGAAAAATGTACGAATAGGCCAAAATGTGAACATGGGTGATGCACGTAGTGCACAATTTTAAGTTCATTTATTAGTACAGAGTCCGTGTGATGCACGGGATGCACAATTTTTAGTATGTGTAATACAAATACATATTGTATGCACGGGACAGAAGCACTAAATGAGTTATTTCCACAGTGCTTGCCCGTTAAGTAGTTGCTGATCACAAGTGCACAATTTGTAGTACGTACCATAAAATCAGAACAAATTTCCATACAATTAGATAATAAATTAGATAATAAATAAAGCCCTTTTTATTTTAGTAAAGATTTTACGTACTTTTTTATTTCCATCTAATTTTTGTATGATGCATTAAATATTTATTAGATTTTATATGTAAAATAAAATAAAAAATAACTGGAATTGTTTTACGTGTTGTAATATTTTATATTTAAAAAAATTATAAAAGCTTCTTTTACGTATTGCATAGCAAAATTTTAGGAACCACATGGATATTCCTAAATTAATATTGCATACCCAATATTTTAGGAACTAATTAAATGCTAATTTGATTTGCATACCAAAAATATTAGATGCATTAATTAAATGTTTGATAAAAATTGCAAATCATTAATTAGGGTTGACTATTCTACATACTACATTTAGTAAATAGTATAACTTTTAATATAAGTATAGATTAACTCAATGATTTTCCAAATTTAGACTTAAGGGAATGCTACAGTCTCGTTACGGAACCATTCAGTTGGGATTTGTAACCGTTAGATCATCACTGGATAATTGATCTAATGGTTATAAACTCCGATGAAATAGTTCCGTAAAGGGACTGTAGAATCTCCCTAGACTTAAATCTGCTTTGCTATCACATCATTCCATGCCGACCGCCCATTTTTCACATTTAACAAGTGCGTGGCCCGTGCGATGCACGAGAAATAAATATTACGATTGTATTATAAATTATATATATATAAATAACATTAATCATGATTTATCCATTGTTTTTAAATTAAATCGGGTAGGACACAGTCCGGCCGGATGGACCGCGAACCGTTTTATAAACAGTCTAGTTCACTTGAATAAAATATTTTCTATCGTATCCGTGACTTTTTTATATAAATTTTATTACATTTGAAATTATTTTAAATGAAATTACATATTTAAATAAAATAGAAATTAAAAGGTTATTTATCAATTAGTTTAAACATTTGAATTTATAAATTGTTTAGATATTTAAGTAACACATTTTATTTAACTTTATTACAAAAAGTATTGTACATATTTATTAAAATATTTATAAATTAAAATCCGAACAAATAAAAAATGATTTAATAAAATAGAGATTTATAAATTATTTACCAGTTAGTTTAAAATTATTTAAATAAAATAGAGATTTATAAATTATTTATCAATTAATATAATCATTTGAATTTGTAAATTGTTTAGATATTTAAGTAACACATTTTATTTAAATTTATTATAAAAAGCACTATGTATATTTATTAAAATGTTTATAAATTAAAAAAATAAATAAATTAAAATTTGAACAAACCTCAAATGATTAATAAAATAAGTTGATCGTTTCAACGACGGTCCGGTTATTAAAACCTTATATTTACTATACATTAATAAACATTATAATGATATATTATTTAATTCACATAAATATTAATGAAATTAAATATCAATATTCATAAATCATTAAATGTGTTGTCATAAAAGTATTGTTAATACAATTATTTGAAGATTGGATTACATTATATTCATGTAATAATGTATTTTTAATATTCATATTTAGGTTAAATAAGCGATTGGTCTGGTCAAAATGATACATAACTTAGTCACCTGGGACCAACCAAGTTGTGTCAAGTTTTTTGACTATTTTAAATATTACCTAAAAGTATATCAATCAACTTGGGTTGTACCTTAATTCAATCACCCGATTGATTCAAAGAAATTTTCTTATTTTCTTTAAATATATTTAATTTTATGAAATAAAAATATTTTATGATTCATATAATAAATGTCTAC